TACCATATTCTTTACTAAAATTGTTATTTCATTTCGGATTTTTTGTGGTCTGTAGCAATTTTTACAAACATTTCGTTTCCCGAGCGTACGAAAGACTGAATTTTTTTTGTGTAAAGTCGTGAATTGCTATGATTGAGCACGCCACTGAGCTACCATGAAAATAAGTGTTAAAAATTATTGCAATTTTAAACAGAGTTAAAAACTTCACATCAAACTATTGTTCTATAAAATGTGTTTATCGTTTTATCGATCGTACTAAAATGCCACTTGTGCAAAAATTACTCAGTCCCGGAATATACCTATGAACTTTCGTCTTTTTCATCATTTTGGCTAAAGCTATCCACCCACAGGTACGCCGTCCGCAACTTCCCCTCTTCGTATGTTCGGGATTCTTTATAACCTATTTACATTTGCTGCCAGTTGCAAGAAATTTCGGGGCGGAAGTGTATTTTTCGTCAGAATTAACTCTTTGAACTCGCTCTCCCCCCGAGCCCTCGAAAGTATGCTAATAAACTCCCCGTGAGCGGCGCAAAGTAGCTGAATATGTTCGGGACGTTTTTCTTTGACGTTTGAGATAATTTGCCGTCGTCGGCGATAAGTTCGTTTTATCGTTTGATCGACAGCTCCGATCGGTCACAATGGAATATGTGTCAAATCAAACGTGAGTTATCGCAACCGAGGGAAAAGAAAGGGTAACGACATAATAATTTGCGAGGATCGATGTCGGATGGGTGGGAGCAGGGCCGGCTTGGGAGGTAACGAAGAAAGCGCGGACGGTTTGGTACGAATTTACAAAACTGAATTCACTAATTGAATACGTAATTTTTTTATATTATATTAGTTGTGTTAAGATTTCCCACCACCAAGAATAGTTGATATATTAAAAAAAAAGATTTCAATGAAAATTTTCAGGTTGCTATTTCAAGCATACAACGCACTGAGCTTTGACACAAAGTTTGAATAAAGTTTTATCAAAGTTTGGTGTCGCGGGAGTGTTTAGGGACAAATTCAACATTATTGAAAGTAGTTAATCTTTCTGGCTTAGTGATGGATCACATCTATTGAGATTCTTTTTTTTTAAACATTCAACATATGTTGTGGTTGCCTAAAATCTGGCGTCTTAACAACAAAAATTGAGAAAAATTGGTATTTTTTAACATTAGAGTGTGTGACGCCGGGAATTTGAGACTGAGCATTAAGAGGAAATCGGGAAGTCGCACATTAGCAAAACGAACTCCCGAGGCTGTTGAAATACAACTTTAGAAGGCTGTCTGAAATAATTACAAGGGTCGATCGTGTTTTTTATTACAAGTAGCACAAAAGAATTTCAGGGTTTTCTTGATGTTTATTTAGGAGCTGAAGGGATCTCAAGGGTAAAATAATGTTTTATTTTTTAATATCACAACACAACTTGGTTCGTTCGCCGGAAATTCGGTTTATGTCAAATAGTTAATCGTAATTTCTTTTTTTTAATGTACATAGAGCTGCTATTCAAAAAATAGCCAGTGACGTCATAATTTTGACAGCGCAATAAAAAATATAATTAGCTTGTGTAGCTCATTATAATAGACGGTGTGTTTTAAATTCGCCGGCATATGGCAGGTGAGGCTTTTGTTGTTTGTTAATTTTCTTTGTTTTTTTTTCTAATTATTTCCATTATTTTATGAAAACCGTCAGGTATCACAAAGGCGCTGTTCTTTTCGGTGCATTTTTTTGTTTGTGTCGAGGGAGAGGGGCGCCTGAAACCGGCCCTGGGCGCGCCGTTTAATTCCGCCTATTCAAAATGTAAGAAAGAGCCTTCCCTGCGAGATAAAAACTTGTAAAGCTAATCTGGGCCATTCGTCGCAAATCCCTCGTAGATGTTGCACGTATATAACGAGTAGTTTAACGGCGTCGTTACCGGTTAGGCTGACGAATGACGTTATTTCCTCTCCTCTTCCACTTTTTCGACGCGAAACGCAGGTGTGTGGAAATTCCGGCATTACTCAGGTCGGTCCGCGAGGGGCTGAATAATTCCGTGTTTAAGATGGATTATTTACACCGAATGCAAACAAAAATGACAAAGAAAATTAAATTTCAACGGCGTACCGGCTAAAAGGCCTTAAACTTTTCCAATTACAAAATACTAAAGTAGCTGAGTAAAAAGAGGATTCGGAAAACGGGAAAGTTTTTCGTCAGATTTCAGTGGCGGCGCTGAATTCTTGAAATCGTGTTATAATTTTCTACACGGTTGTTTAATTGTATTCAGTGTTTTTGTTTGCGAACAATCCGAATGCAATTTAAACTCGGAAACGTTCTAATTGTGTTTCAATTGTCCTTCTTTAATTTCTACTCTTTAAATTTAACTGCTTAAGCAAATCGGCGCGTTTTACATTTTTCGCCAAATCCGTTTTACATAAATTACCCATGGACTAATTTCCGTTTTTCTTTTCGGCCGGAGACCCGCGTAACTCGAGCCGGCTTTATCAGAAATTTTTGAAGCGGCGATTAATTTCACCCGGATAAGAGGCAGTATACCGTTCAAAGATAGATTTCATTATTTTCAGGCGAAATTTACCGCCACTGGTATTGGTTTTTATTTTTAATTTAAAACGGTAACGAGAGAACGAACGCTTTTTTTGCGTTTTGCGCTGAAAGTTTCACAACTCTTTTTTTTTTCGCTGGCGCTACAGTTGTTTCGGCGTGCATTCCTCCCGTTTTGAAACCTAACATCCTTGAATGAATCAAAGACAGTGATGAATTCTTTGCGAACTTTTCTGAAACTCGCTTCCGTGAGTTTTGTTTACGTCTGCTTTATAAACAGAAACATCCCTTTGTTGCATATTACAACCGAAATATTTTGTAATTTTTCTTAATTTTTAGGGCGCTTGTGTAAAAATTCTCGAATTGTTTTCGTAAGGAAATATTTGATTTCGGTTTTTAAAGAATAGCTTTCACGTAGCAAGTTTCGACAGATATTTTTTGATAGTATTGTCTTAAATTCTTGTATTATGTTTTGACTTGAATAAATTTTAATGAGGCCATTTTAGGTTGAAAGAAATGCTCATTATTCATCCTTTTTTTCAAATAACGAGGTTGTTGTATTTGAAAAATTGTCTTTCGTCTGGAGAGCAATCTTTTTTATTACGAAGAAGTCGACACTAATTTTCAACTGACGTCTAATTTTTTACTGGAACGTATGGTCGGAAAATAAATTCGAGGCTGCACTTTTCGAATTTTTCCTAACACTGCACGCTGCGTTAACTTTGTATCACGGAAACCTCGCAACATTTCTCCACCTATCTCTGGAGAAATCAAGACACGAAACATTAAAAAGAGCAACCCGCACGACGCAAAAACCCCTAAATAGTTTCATGAAATGTGCAACGACTAAACGAAATCAGAGCTCGTTATCAAGTGCATGCTGCTCCATTTCCGCCAAGATTTTATTCAATTAAAACAAAACGTACAATTTTCCTTTCCTCCGCGATTTAATTAAAAACCGAATGTCACAATATTTTCCCCTCCGAACTAATTAGGACATGCAGATTCGGGGGTGCAAAATCGTAGAAACCGAAGAAGTTCGACGTGCACAAGTTTTTTCATTAAAAGGAAATGGATCCGTGCGGTTTACATATTTTGTATGTGCGTATAAAATTCTCTGGATCATTTTTTTAATAAAATGGAAAGAGGGATGTTTTCGCGTTTTTTATGAAGCTAATTTTAAATTGTTATTACTAGGGGTAAAAAAATATTTTAACATGTAAATAAATTAGCGTGAGGAGGGCGGTTTGATGGAATAAAGAATTTTCGGGGAAAAATGTAGCCGGAAAATTGTAGTTCGCGCAAGCACTAGATGGTGCCGTAAACGTAAACTCCGGACTTGAATTTTTCATTAATTTAATCTAATTAGTTCGTTTTTAGTGTCAAAATTGCGGTATATATTCATGGTCGTCGTGTAGGGAATGCTCGTTTAGCTTTTACGGATTGAGAGAAGTTTGCAGCACAATTAATGAACTCCATTTGGCGATCCGTACTATGGTTATTTATTTTAATAGACGGCGCTTTCTGTAATTATGGTTCCATATTTTGTTGCACGGATATTGGCGGACGTATTAATGATGGGCAACCACGAGCGGAATTTCATCGGATTTTCAGGATTCGACACGTAACGACGGTCGAAGAAAATATTTGGAAGTCCGAGTCTTAATTGACAGGCGTTATTTCAGGCTTCCGGTGCGCTCCGGAGCTAAATGTAGAATCTCCGGCGACAAGTCCGCCCGGTTTTTCGAGCTTTAATTAAGTCCGAATTGAAGTTTTTGTCAAAGTAGTCAGTTTGTAACGGCGAAAAGTTACATTTTGAATTTATTTGTGCAATGTGTTTGAGCAAATGCAATTAAGTCTCGTAAATATGATAAAACAAGACATTAAGCGCTTTATTGCAACGTAGCGCCGTATTGTCCTTACGACTAAAAATACTTTGTGCGAGGAATTAAATTTCGTAATATAGTACGGCCGTGCCATCCGGTTATTCTCTTTGTTTACGATAGTTGTATTTTACGGTGCATAAAGCACGTACCGTAAACTATACGAGAAAAATGACGTCATTTATGCAAATTCCGTTCCGCGAGTTTCGCGTTTCTACTGTTCTAGAACGAAGAATTGTCCGCTCGACTTGTCTTCAGACGTTCGAAGATTGAAAATTCCAAAGTTCGGCGATCTCATAATGTAAATACATAATAAGCCATTCGGATCACATCAAATAGAAATCCGTATCTTGGCGAAGTCGATGCACAATGAAGCCATTTGCCGACATCATCCACCATTTCACGAAGAGTTTACCGAAGTTGTTATGCACTTCCGCGGAACTAATTTCGTGATCATAACAGAGTCGACTCGTAAATCCCTCGTTTCCGGCATCAGCGCGGCCCCAATAAAATCCGGGATTTTGTCCGGGCCGGTTTCGCACGAGCCCTAGGTGACAAATAAGGGTGCGGTTATATTTTATGTAATTGACTTACCTAAAATGCCGAGTCGGTAGTTTACGGTGACTACGACGACGCCCCCGTAACTGGCGAGGACGCTGCCGTCGTAAGGGTTGCCCGAATTCCATTCGTAGCTCTCGCCGTGGACGAACACCACGACGGGGTACTTGGACGAGGAGCTGCCCTCTCTCGTACCTGCTGCAAAGGAAACCCGATCAGACACTAATAATAAACGGTCGAGTATTCTTAAAATGTTGGACGCACAGATATAAATTAATCGTAGTTCTTGAGTTTTATTTTTCCAAGCCGGCTTTGTGGAGAAACAAAATCGCCGGTCAGCGCTTAGCTGTTGAATAGATAAACCCCAATAACAGTATTTTATCTGCGCAAAAACATCCCTCATTGTCTCGATTCGCGGATAAAAGTTTTTGAACGACGAAAATCATTTGTTGGCCGGACTCGCGCCGATGGAAGATGGGTAAAGTTTCCTTTATTTCAGACGAGGATAAGTTTGATGTATGTAGGTACGTCGATGTTTGGAAGGGTTGATTCCGCGAATCCGAGTTCTATTTGCGTTGTCTGGTATTTATTCGCTAGATAACTATTTTGCTGTTTTTGAGCGGTTTACGAGCCGAGATTAGCTATTCTAAATAGTGGAAACGTTCGCCCTACATTTTCGTGGGGTTTAAAATTACGAAGAGGAATGCTTCTCTATGGTAGGTGTTTGAACTTCAAGAAAAGTGATAAATTCTTGTCTGTCGCCGTGGCTGCATTAGTTTCTAATAGCCGAAAGTTCGAAAATTTATTTGCAGAGTTAGTGTTGTTTTTGTCCCCAAACCCTTACGAGTTGGTGAACCATTACACTACATTAGTTTGGACGTCCGACAAAGACTTAAAGGAGGATTTTTGAAATTTGGGCGAAAAGACGTTGTGCAATTTTTTATTCTTCAAACGCAGTATTTAAGAATTAAATTTGTTGTATGTACAAAAATGGTGGATGCGCCGGGCAAAATTTAAGTTAAAATTATTTATTTCCCAATTTTTAGCCAACTTTAACAAATCTGTTTACTTAAATGGAGCAATCATATTAGACGTAGTTACGAGCTGTTTACCGAGAAACTTGATTCGAGAAAAACTTTAGACGGTCTTCGTAAAATATTAGTGTGATTAAGATCCACGGATTGAAATATCTGGAAAATTTTAGTAATTTGAATAACGAATAAGTTTTATTACGGGAACTCTAAAACTAGAAAAAGCGAGTTCTACTAACGACGTATTATCACGTTCTGTTAAAACCGGCCATAAAAATCGGAAACGGCCCCATGATGCGTGTCCCCTTCGTCGTTTTTCGTATCAAAATAATAAAACGGCATATGATTTCCCCCCCGCCTGCAGCTGCACTACACACAAATCACCCCGAATGGCCCATCAACCCTCATTCCGAGACTAATAACCTCAAAGATAATTTGTTTTTCGTGTTTGGATTACATCCCCCGAATGGATGTTGGATTTTCCGGTTTATAAATTGTCGCGAAGGCATAAAGGAAAGGGGTTGCGTGCGAACGTATAGGAACCTCGGTCGTGTGCGAAGCATCGGGTGTGAGGAAACCCATAAAACAATGCGACCGAAATGGTAAAAAGCCTTTCCGTATTCTCATATTTTATTTGCGCTTACATAAGCGTGGAAAATAACGAACTGTTTCCGATACCGAATCGGCCGATCTAGTTTCGGTATTAGAAGGCAGGGATGATCGATGCGGGACGAACGAGGAGAAAAAACCGATTGTAAAGATAAATGTATTCATGGACTTCAAAAATTGCCATGCGAGATGAAAAGAAACACGTTTGAGAGACTCGTTAGTCGACTCGGATACGGGAAGGAGTCGTCCAACTTGCGTTCTGCTCATTTGTCATCTGCTTTTTATTTTTTATTTTATTTTTTTTTCTGTGTGGAGAGGTAACGAGCTTTTCGCAGTAGTGTCTCGAATTTTTAACCACTAATAAAAATTATAAATATTTAAACGTGTATTTTTCAGGTTCGGTTCGTCCTGTGTGGGAGCGTCCGGACATGCATATTCACACATCATCTGCACAGCTCGTGTATTATTAGAGCTTATTAATGCAACTTTTAATAATGGGTTTAATTAGATACATTTGTTGCGGTTTGCGTGTTCACCATTATCATATTGAGGTTTTAGTGTTCGGTAATAACTGGAAATACCCAGGACAGGCCGACTTTATTGCGGCTGTTTCATTTGCATATTTACTCATCAAGTTTTTGAGTCGGTAATTGAAAATACTTAAATTTAGGGATTTCATAAATTGTCGACGGCATGACTGTACATTATTAATGGCCATCATTTCTGTGGGAAGCGATTCGGTTTAATTTTATCAATTTGTGTGGGGCGGGATTGTTTGACCAACTGTGGGTGGCAAAGCTTTTGGAAAAAAAGTGGTCGTATTGAAACTCGTCATTAACGAATGTTTGTGGTGTGTAGGTGAGCGTGTTTTCTTGATGTTTGAGTTAAACGCGTCTGAAAAATCGTTTTGTTTGAGTTGTTTGATGTAATTTTTGTATTCGGAAGTTATTCGGTGGGAAATAAAAACCAACAGCTTTTGTAATGTCGGCAGGTTTGTTGTTTCTTTTATTAATTGAGGTGTATTAACACTAATTGAATGAAAACGTGGGTTACTGGTAATCTGTGGGTGTAAACAACAAAATCAGCCTTTGTGAGGCCATATTTTAATTGAAACCTGAGCCTGTTTTCAGGAATTTCGGGAAAAATTCCCTCGTGTTGCTGTTCTTGAAGCTATTTTTTTAAGGATATTCAGTTATGTGTACATCAAATTATTTCGTGAGACTGATAACATTAAGAGGAAATCAGGAAGTCGTACATTAACAAAACGAACTGTTGAGGCTCTTGAAAATGTCCGACAGATTATGGATGGTAACCCCCATAGATCTTTAAGCAGCAACTTGATTTGTTATATACAATTTGCTAGAAAATTGTTAAAAAGGACCTAATGTTGTTTCCCTATAGAATGTAGGTGTTTGATTAACTTAAATCACCTGATTATGAAAAATCTTTAGACTATTTTTTGTTGCCTAGTGAAAAACCTTGAAGTCACTTAAGGGGACTCGCTAGACGAGGTATAACATTTTTTTGGTTTTTTGTATGAAAAAATGATATTAATATAGATGTGTCATACATCAAACTGCAGCTTTTTTCATATTCTAGGGCGCAGAGACCAGTTCAATCAACTAAAAAAATATGGCTGAGAAATATCGTAAAAAAGCACCATTTTATGTTTTCTTTTCAAGTTTTTGAGTCATAACCATCATAAAATCGCTTGAAAATTCGCACATGGATAAAACATTACTTTTTACAGGGCGCAGAATCATTAAATGTTTGTTAGTGGTCCAATTTGTTTAAATAATAATGTGTTTATTAAAATCAAAATATACCACAAATTAATGGAAAATACGTCGAATAATTTTAACAGGAATATCAGAGGAAAATTAATGATCTATTGGTTAGCAGAGTTTTTAACCAAAACTAACAGTTATTGAAAAAAATGGGTATCAATTCGACAGAATTTGAGCAGTTAGTTCAGTACTTTGCCAATAGGAGCGCCACTAAAATTTACGGAAGCGACTTTCAGGTAAAACCCTTATCGCCTGCTTTACCATAAGCTTATTGTTAGAGTTCTCGGCTGATTTTTCTAATTTATGGCAAGGAACTCAGCTTTATAACAAGCCGCCAGGACCGGCCGTAGTAATCTATTGTTAAGAAAATTAACTTTTACGCAATGAGGTACTATCATAAAACCGAATTCAAACTGGGGAACTATAATATTTTTACTCCACTCAGGATCCTGAATTCAATACACATGATTACTAAAAATTAATTGTAATATTATTCTTAATATATATTTTGCGTTGTTAGTTAATAAAACTAATAAACATATTTATAATAATAATAAAAAATATATAAAATACAGCTTTTGTTTAACACGTATAAGTAGCTAAGTGTATCTACTACTTATCCCAGAAAGGAGGTGTTTTAAAAAAGCCCTACGGCCAGTATCTTCTCCCTTCATTGTTTACTCGAAAAAAGTGCTCGTATATGTTTTCATTTGCCGAGAGATCATTTTCAAAATATATTTATAATAAAAATATGCAAGTCTTGGTGATGAAAAATGTACTCCTAATAAATTATTAAAGTACATAAAAAAATAGAAACAAATTTTATTTATTTTAAAAAAATCTCTCGCAAAGGCAGGTTCCTCTTTCTTCTTGAATCAATTATTTCGGGCAATAATGCGCCAAAGCAAAATCTGCCAAGTTTATCTGCCATCTTTTTACATATATTTCTTCGTCTTTATAAATTTTTTCTATATTTATTCCATTGGGTGTCCATACAACAAAATAAACTTGTGAAATACCCGTAACAAGCATTTGTCCCTGGACTTGAAAGTAGTAATCATGATTTTTTTTTTAGTTTCAATTCTCTGTCTGTCAATGTACAAAATTTGATTATTTTTTTTCTAACCGCTTCTTCGGGAGACAAATCTTGCGATTTTGAAGGGCATTTAATTTCGACTAATGCACTCCTATCCTCTAGAACCCTGTGTGGACTAGCAGCCAAGTAAGGAAATTGTTTTGAAATAAACAAGCGACACCGTTCAGTTTTTATATTTTTATTTATTTCAAAACACTTGACAGCTTTTTCCTCACTTTGCTGTCCATAGTATGTATAACTGTTACCTCTAAATGTACTGTACAACAGAGACTCCACCGTTTTAGCTATTGCTGTAGTCGGTCTAAGTTTGTAAATACGTCCAAAATTTGAAGCCGTAACCCTAATTTCTCTTTCTTTTGCCCAAATGTGCCTGTTGCCTAGTGTCTATTTAAATTTGTTCTAAATTCAAAGATAATTTTCTCAAAAAAACCTCTTTGGCTGTCACAAATGTTTCTACATCCATGACTGACAGGATTTTATAAAAAATATTTAAATTATAATCGCAGTCGGGACCAGCATACGTAAATTTTTTTACGAAATATTTTTTTACGAATACTTTGTCTAAGACGAGTTTGTTTAATAGACGAACAATATTTTTTTGTTATTAAACCAGGACCGTTTTAATCACAATATATTTACTTATCCCCTCTAAAAAATTGATGACGTCACCTCAAA